ACCGTTGCAACAAGAGCAACTGTTCTCACAAAACCCTCTTATAGCGCTGATGCTTAGGAAATACTAGCCATCCCCTGCCACGTGTTGCTGTGGCCCAGTCTATGAATATGTGCTTTGTGTGTGTATATATTTGTGTATATGTGTATATATGTGTGTTTGTGTATATTTATGTGGTTTTGTGCATGCATTGTAAAAAAATTTTGTCTTTTAAAGTCTCTTCTGTTGTGTTTTTCAGTGTTTTATGAGTGACTAGCTGAACCCGCCTCACGGTGCTGTGGCCAATCTTCCTTTTTCTCTTCTTTCTTTCTCTCATTCCTTCCCTCTCTCTTTCCCTCCTTCCTTTCTTCCCATTTTTTCTTTCCTTCTTTCCTTCCTTCTCTTCCTCTTCCCTTCCTCCCCCCTTTTCTTTCCTTTCCCCTTTCTCTCCTTTCCTTCTTCTCTACCAATTCTTGAACTGCAACGCCCAGCAGTCCTCCTGATCGATCTACCTACCTACCTACCTCCATCTAATCTATCTATCTGGAGGATTGCTGGGAGTTGCAGTCCAGGAATAGGAAATTGGAGATATGCAGGGATTAGGATGCTCTCCAAGAAATCCATGGAGAAGAAAGCTTGCATCTTGGAAGCAGTGAATTTGGATCATCCTCCTCTCCTAAAGGGCCTGGTCTAGGAGATGCTGGGAGCTGTAGTCTGGAAGAGAGTGTGGATATGCTATTGTGTGTTTTGTTTGGCAAGGGGTGGGGGATGGGTGGAGTCATTTTTGCACTTGCGCTGTAGCATCTTTTTGCTTTTTTGGCTTTTTAAGTCCCTTTCACTGTATTTTTCAGTGTTTTTATGAGTGATGGTCACTCATGGCCTGATAGGTGTCTTATGTCAAAATTTGGCATCAATTCACCCAGTGGTTTTTGAGTTATGTTAATCCTACGAATGAACCTTACATGTTTATTTATATAGATGGTTTTCTATGGGCAAGCAGATGGCGACTACTGAGTGGCAGATGTCCTGTACCAGAAAGTAGAGCTGATGTGGTCTATCCAATGCCGTTTTCTGAATCAGCACCCCAGATAACCAAATTGAATCCAAAGTTGACCAAAAACCGATTCGTAACCCTTTTGGTACTAATGTTGGGGTGTGGTCCACACTGGGCATGCATACTCAGGAGCAGAGTAGCATAGCGCAAGGGCAGATGTCTTCACTGTGTCTGGTTGTGATCCCCAGGTTGTGCCAGTCAGCTTTCGTATGATGTTGTTTCTAGCACCCACTTTTTGCTTGATGTTCAGGCAGTGCTTCTTGTAGGTCAGAGCACGGTCCAGAGTGACTCCCAGGTATTTGGGTGTGCTGCAATGCTCCAGTGGGATTCCTTCCCAGGTAATCTTCAGAGCTTGGGATGCTTCTCTGTTCTTGAGATGAAAGGCACATGTCTGTGTTTTGGATGGGTTGGAGATCCGCTGGTTTTCCCTGTAATAGGCAGTTAGAGCACCTAGAGCTTCGGAAAGCTTCTGTTCTACCATCTCAAAGCTCCCTGCTTGAGCAGTAATGGCACGATCATCAGCATAGATGAAACTCTCTGTCCTTCTGGCAGTGGCTGGTCATTTGTGTAGATGTTGAACATGGATGGAACAAGCACGCTCCCCTGAGGCAGGCCGTTCTTCTGTTTCCGCCATCTGCTTCTCTGGCCCTGAACTCAACAAAAAAGCTCCTGTTTTGTAGCAGGTTTCCTATGAGGCGGGCGAGGTGGTAGTCTTTTGTGATATTATACATTTTTCTCAGGAGGAGGCGGTGGTTCACAGTATCATAGGCTGCTGACAGGTCTATAAAGACAGCTCCTGTGATCTGCTGCCTTTCAAAGCCATCTTCTATGTGCTGAGTCAGGTTCAGCACTTGCGATGTGCAGCTTTTGCCTTTTCTGAAGCCAGCTTGCTGTGGGATCAGACAGGGGTCTATTTTTTCCTAATTCTATGCAAAATAAGTCTCTCCAGAACTTTGTAGAGGTGGCACAACAGGGAGATTGGTCTGTAGCTTTTTGGGTCATTACGGTCTTTGCCTGGCTTCAAGATGGCGATGACTCTTGCTTTCCTCCAGATTTTGGGGATCTGACAGGATGCAGTGCAGTTGTTCGTCAGCTCCAGCAGCCAGCGCCTTGCTTTTGGACCAAAGTTCTTGATTTGTTCCATCCGTAGATCATCCAGGCCAGCTGCTTTGCCATTTTTACATTTATTGAGAGCCATGTCCAATTCAGTAGATGTAAAGGGTTCATGAAGGTTGTTGTTCTCAATCTCTGGTTGTCTGGCTATTGGTTTCTTTCCTACTTTGGTGGCAAGGTTGGGTTTCCCATTCTTCAAGAGTTGGTGTGCTATCTGATCTGCCTTTGTGTTGGCATGGGTATTAGTTTGTGAGGGGTCGTTGCTCAATCGTCTCAGCAGCCTCCAAAGAGGGCTGATGCCAAACTACAAATCCCATTGTTCCATTGCATTGGTGGCAAATTGAAGGATGCACCCTAAGTGAACTCTTGGGTGCAATACCACTTCGCGGCCACGTGGTGGCGCGCTGCTCCCAATCCTTTTCCCTTGCGGCAGCGGAAGAAAGCAAGGGCACACAAAGGGGAGGGGAAGAAGGCGAGATATATTCCAGAAACTTCCGGAATGTCGTCGCCTCGAGAACTGGGGCAGCCTACTCTCGCGATAGTTTTGCCCAAACGCAATGGTTCACTCCAGGATGTGCCCACAGATTTTTAAAATACAGAGTGACGCGCCTCTCTTTGCACAGAAAGTCTAAAAGCAGGAAAGAAGCATAGAACTGTATCATTTGAATATATTTTGAAATATATATGTACTGTATTGTATCTATTTGTTATACATCTATATATAATAATTCCAAAGTGTTTCCTGCAACATCACTTTGGAGCCTCTCAATATACACAATATAATAATATATTGAAACAATAACATAGTAATGTAATAATACTAATATATATATAGTATTACTAATGTTGTAATATAATACATTACATATTATATATACTACAACTCATGTTATAATTCAGTATGTTATATAATACTAATAGTAAAACATACTGGTAGTGTATTATATATAATTGTTGGTATAATAATATAGTACAATTTAATAATATGTAATAATTGTGTTTTATATATTACATATAATATTACGTATTATCTCATATCGAAAACATTGCATAAATTAGTATAAAACTGATAAAAACTGATAAAAATAGAAGGAGAGGAAGCAGCTAAATATCTTTTGACCAAAAACGGGCAACAGCAACGGCATTGTCCAACAATTCTTCCTCTGTAAATGAGGCAGGGCATAGTGGACAAGCATACAGATGTATATAGAGTTGTCTGTTCTGCCGACAGATGGCTATCCAGCCTCTGTTTAAAAGCCTCCAAAGAAGGAGCCTCCACCACACTCCAGGGCAGAGAGTTCCACTGCTGAACAGCTCTCACAGTCAGGAAGTTCTTCCTAATGTTCAGATGGAATCTCCTTTCTTGTATTTTGAAGCCATTGTTCCGCGTCCTAGTCTCCAAGGAAGCAGAAAGCAAGCTTGCCCCCTCCTCCCTATGACTTCCCCTCACATATTTATACATGGCTATCATGTCTCCTCTCAGCCTTCTCTTCCTCAGGCTAAATATGACAAGCTCTTTAAGCTGCTCCTCACAGGGCTTGTTCTCCAGACCCTTGATAATTTTAGTTGCCCTCCTCTGACCACATTCCAGCTTGTTAACATCTCCCTTCAATTGTGATGCCCAGAACTAGACACAGTATTCCAGGTTTGGTCTAACCAAGGCAGAATAGAGGGGAAGCATGACTTCCCTGGATCTAGACACTAGACTCGAATTGATGCAGTCCAAAATTGGCTTTTTTTGCTGCCACATCACATTTTTGTTGTCACAACTTGTTGTCCATGAGGACTCCAAGATCTTTTTCACATGTACTGCTCTCGAGCCATAATATTACAATATTATTATTATATATTATATTTTATTATTATTAGTATTATATTGCATTACATTAAAATATTAGTAATATATGTATATACAATACATTATATTATTAGCATAGTACAATATTAGTATTATATATTATTATATTGTACCATACTACTATACTGGAATATAATTAGTAATATTATGTATAATATATAACATATAATAATTATATTATTATATATTATTATCTTGTATTGTAGTATTATACCACAACACATATAATATACCACCAGTATATTATACTATTAGTATTAAATAATATATTGTATTATATCATAAATTGTAGTATATATAATATATATTATATTACAACATTATTCATTATATATATATTAGTATTATTATATTACTATTATTTACTATTGTATTACAATAGAATAATATTGCAGTATAATAACATTAATATATTATTATAATATTTCAAAATTATAATATTACAATATTATTGATATCATTATATAAATAAGAATTTAATGTTTGTTTGTGGGATTAACATAACTCAAAAAACACTGGACAAATTGATACCAAATTTGGATACAATACACCTATCAAGTCAATGAGTGACCATCTATATAAATAAACATGTAATGTTAGTTTGTGGGATTAACATAACTCAAAACCCACTGGACGAATTGAGACCAAATTTGGACACAAGACACCTATCAGGCCAACAAAAACTGAAAAACACAGCAGAAGAGACTTAAAAAACCAAAAAACAAAAAATACATTACAACACATGCACAAAACCACATATATACACAAACACACACGTATATATATAAAATGTGGGTGGGGATTAAGAGTTTGCATGGATGCATGTGTCAGAAGACATTTCCCTTTTTTTCTGTCTGTTTCCTGGAACTCAGAATTTCCCACTTTGAGACACATCAAGGAAGAGTGAACCTGGAATTTTCACCATGACGTCTCACTCTTCCCTTTGTTCAAGGTAGATCTATGGTTAAGGGGGGGCGGAGCTCACGGCGGTTGAATCGGCCGCTTCCGGCGCGTGACGCACTTCCTCTCAGCGGCCCTCAAAGCAGAGAGGGACGGTCGTTGCCGTCAGTCACGGTTTGTCTTCGTTGTTGTTGCCGCCGTTCAGCGAAGGCAAGTAGGCCGCGAGGGGAGAGGGAAGGATAAGCAGAACGACGCCGAAAGGGAATCTTGCGGTGAGTGTCCGTTTTCTCGGGCGGGGAAGCGAGTCGGCCTTTTTCCATCTCCTTGAACCTTTGGGTCCTTCTGATTGGCTGAGGGGCACTGCAGGGGGCGGGAGGGGGGCACCAAAGCTGATTCCCTATTTGCTGCTGGGGGCGTCGCTTTCCCCTCGTGACGCGCTTGTCGTCAGGCAGATCTCCTTCCTCTGTTCAGGTCCCTTATTCCCCCTCCTATGGTGATTTGAGCCTGGGCTGTAGTATCTGAACCCCAGATTTGAACAGAGGTTGGCATTAAGGCGTTTGATAAACTCTTTAATTTAATTGACTAGGCTTCCTCCCTCTTATTGATAGATGGTGGCGGGGTATAAATAAAGTTTATTATTATTATTTATGCTAATGTGTGGCCAGCCATGAATATAATAAGGTTTTCTTAGGCGAGGAATGCTCACAGTTGGGTTGTTAAAGTCATCTGTATCGCCTGATACTTGTTGACAGCCCTTCTGAACTCTGGAAACGTTCATATTTTGGAGCTGCCACTCCCAGAATCCCCCCAATCAGCTATTTTATGGAAGCGACGGCCCCAAAAGACAACTTTCCCACATACTATGGCCTTCCAGGTGTTTGGACTCCAGTTCCCACCATCCCTGGTCGCAGGTTCGAATCCGGGGAGAGGCGGATGAGCTCCCTCTATCAACTCCAGCAACATTAGAACCTAACATCAATAAATTAAACCAATCATAATCAAACAAGAATTGTACAATGATGTAAAATCTGAACATAAAACATTCAAGGAGCCCCCGGGGTGCAGATTCAGAAAATTGCATTGGATAGACCACATCAGCTCTAGTTTCTGATACAGAACATACTCCATCCAGTAGTCACCATCTGCTCACCCACAGAAAATGGAGCCCCCAGTGGCACAGTGGGTTAAAGCCCTGCGCCGACAGGACTGAAGACTGACAGGTCGCAGGTTCGAATCCGGGGAGAGGCGGATGAGCTCCCTCTGTCAACTCCAGCTCCTCATGCGGGGACATGAGAGAAGCCTCCCACAAGGATGATAAAAACATCAAATCATCCGGGCGTCCCCTGGGCAACGTCCTTGCAGACGGCCAATTCTCTCACACCAGAGGCAACTTGCAGTTTGTCAAGTTGCTCCTGACACGACAAAAAATAAATAAATCCCTGATCATTTGCCAGGGCAGCTGAGGCTTCTGGGAGTTGAGGAAGAAGAAGAGTGAATAGTTTTGGATTGTTTTCAGGGATTTTCATTGACTGGTTTGTTCAATTCTATTTTAATATGTTATTTATTTGTTTTATCTGAGTTGATTTTTACCCCGCTTTTCTCCCACACCAAGACTCAAAGCAGCTATCAATACAATAAGAAATTTAACAAAGTAAAAATGAAAGATTTAAACCTGATAAATTCCTTATAGCAACCTGATTATCTAAAACTGTCAGTGATAAGGCCCTATTTACAAATACAATATAAATATTTAAAACCTTTAATTAACCATATTGAGAGCTTAATTCCCATATCCTTTAATCTAGAGCAGACATAGGCAAATTTCATCCCTCTGGGTGTTTTGGATTTCAACTCCTACAATTCCTAACAGCTAAAAGTTTGCCCATGCCTGCTCTAGAGACCATCTACAATTTTAATTTCCCTTAAAGACCTGTTCAAACATAAAGATTTTCACTCCTTTCCTAAATGATAAAAGAGTAGGGCAGCTCTGATTTCTCTAGGGAGGGCGTTCCACAAAGCTGGGGACTTCCCAGAAAAGGTCCTCTCTCGAGTAGCTTTAAGCAGCATTTGGGATGGGTGTAGAGGTGTCAGTAGTCCCCGCCCCCACCCACACTCGATCGAAGTTGCCTTTCAGGTACATAGTAGGAGATATACTTGGATTTTAAATGCTTTTTTTTTCTTTTTTGAGTCGTTTTGCATCTCATTTGAGATAAAACCAGGATATAGATATAACAGAATGATATTGATGATAGTGTTCAAAACACCTGGAGAACTAGAGCCTGGGATTCACTGGGCTAGATATTTTCCTTTAATGGCTTTATAGACTGGTGTCAAAAAAGGGGAAACTTCAGAAGTCCAAAATCTGGCTTGAAAAAGGAGGAAAATATAGCAGTAGCTAAGTGGTGATATATCAGAATTGTGAAATTCTTGACGAATAAATTTATATTTTAAAAATTACACAAAAAATAATGGCAGAGGATTATTGGTGAGAATAGGAGCACCAATGCTCATTTGGAGACCTCCCACAGGAACGCCAACTCTTCAGCATCACTAACAGGGGCAAATCTGAAAGATCCTATCATACATTAAATTAAGCACATTCAGCTGTTTCTGTGTGAATGTGAATAAGATAATTGCTCCCCAACTCCATAAATCTCCATTTCTACACACTTTTGAAACAGTTTACAGATAAGAGTCCCATGTCTGACCATGGTGCTTCATGTCAATTATGACCCTATAAATTTCATAGGATTTTCTTAGATTTGTTGTTTTTGTTGTTATTGTTAAAAATTACCAGTTAAAACCTATTAATATGCCTAAAACGTTACACAACAGTTCTTGATATTCATTACCAGGCCTTCTGGGCTTGGGAAAGGTTCATCCTTTTGGACTGCCACTCCCAGAATACCCCATCCAGCTATTTTTTGTTGACTGGGGGATTCTGGGAGTCACAGTCCAAAAAGGCACCTTACCCATTTGCTGTGGAAGTGTTTTGGGGAAAATGAACCAAGTCCAGATCGTGTGTATGTGTGTGCATCTTCGAGTCGTCTGTTCACTTATTATGACCACATGAATTTCAGAGGGTTTTCTATGGCAAGGAATACCCAGTTTTCCAGTTTTTTCCTCCAAAATAGTAACCAGGGCTGAGTTTGCTTAGCTTCCAAGATGAGACAGGAGTTTGGGTCATTTTGGTATTTAGACAATAGTCTTCTATTAATATACTTTCACATGTGCTGTAGTGTATTAGGTTGTTAGGAGTTAGGTTTTTTTTTGGGGGGGGGGGTTGTCTCTTTTTCTTTGCACAATCCAGACAAACAGGAAGACCTTCAGCCTCAGGAGAGGAAGTACTAGAACTGGAAGAATTGCACCCCTTGGCTCTGTTGGTAGGCAGGCTAATTTGACTTCTTCAGGAAGACAACAAGGAGTTAATTTTCTAGAGCAGAAGTAGAGGGACGGGCTAGTCTTGGAGTGAAAAGAGGTGGAATGGAAGCGGAAATTTTGTACTTGTTTAGGAGGAGCTCAGAGCTGTTTCAGAATGTTAGGCCTTAGAATATGAAAGACAGTGCTTCTCATGAAAGGCAAGCGTTTTCTTACATATTATTATTATTTGGGGAGTGCAGCGGTGGACCCCTTGTGGCTTATTAATGTGTTACTTGTAGAGTGCTAGATTGCTGATAATTTGTTCCCGTCAAATGCCTTCGCCATTTACTTTTTCCTTGGTTTTTCACCCATTTTTAAATTTTTCATTATATCTTCCCCTTTCATTATGTGTATTTATACACACGGGGGGGGGGGGGTGTGGTGGTGGTGGGATGTGGTGGTAAGGTTGCAGCTTAAGCCAAAAAAGTAAAGCCATATCTTTACAGTCTATGTGTTTTATATATTTCTTTTAAAAAGTTGATTAGAAGTGTTCTGTATAAGGTTCAGTTTCAGTTAAATAGCAATTACTCCTGTGTATGTAGGTTAGGGTTCCTCCAGCCAGTTCTACAAAGTGTATTTTTCCAAACTGATGCAACCGATTTTTTTGTTGATTAAAAATGAATGAGTGCTTATATTGTTTGATTTCGTTAGCCTTACAATTCAAGGGCAAGAGATTTAAACAAATATGTATTAAGGTAAGATGGATGAATAGAATAATGAGGCTATTAGATCTTTTAATCTACAAGTGCTACAAATGACTGCAAAACATGTTCTGTACTAGTGATATTGGCAAACTGTTTCTTGATTGGCATTGAGGAAACAGGAAAAGATTGAGTTGCATAGAGAAATAGTCTGGTTGTAACCAGAAGCTCTAAAACAATTTATAAATTAAGAATTTTTCCCTTTTTCTTTTTGGCTAATTTTTGTAGCTATATTGGGGGGGGGGTTAATTGATGAAATCTTACCTAGTTAAATTACTTCTGTGTTTACTGCAGGGAATTATTTTTCCAATTTATATCACTTTAACATTTTAAAATTTTTAAATGTAATGTTCCAGACTTTAGGCTAACTGTAGTAATGGAATTTATGCACGTTTTTTAACTCTGTTGTGCTGACCAGCATTGGTAGTTAGATCTGTCCAAGCACAAGCAAACCTGATCAGAACAAACAGTTGTTTTCGGGGGGTGTATAACAGTGGTTCTCAAGGTCCATCCCTCTAGATTATTAAATATGGTTTTCTGTGGGTGAGCAGATGGTGACTACTGGATGGGGTATGTTCTGTATCAGAAACTAGAGCTGATGTGGTCTATCCAATGCAATTTTCTGAATCTGCACCCCAAATAACCAAAGCAAATCTAAAGTTGACCAAAAACTGATTTTTAACCCTTTTGATACTAATGTTGGAGAGTGGTCCCTGGTCAAAAAAAAAAAAAAGGTTGGGAACCACTGGTGTATAAAGATGCTTTGGAATACATTGTGGTCCTGAGGACATTGAGGGAAAGTGTCCCAGATTGAGGAATATATGTATGCATTGTTGCTACATGAAGGGCAATGAAGTTGGTTCTTAAAGACAATAAGAAATCTAACTTTGTTCCCGCCAAAGAAATTAAAATAATCAAGTGGAATAAAACATGGGTTAACAATTTAAAAGGACCATATTTATTTGGAATAAGTGTTCATGGTCTCCATAAAGGAGAAGCTTATTCTACTAATCCACAAAAGCTTATTCTACAAAATGTTTGTCTTAAGTACCATGACATTTCTTTTTAATGTGCTGTTACACATCTCAAGAGGCATAAATACTCCAGGTCAGCCCTGTTTAATACTTGGATGGGAAATTGCCTTCAAATGC